ATTTTTTACAGAAATCACTCAAGCTCTCCTGCCATAGCCTATCCACGGGATTATGTTGCAGGAGATGATTTTTCTTCCACTGCCAAAACAAAAGGGGAATGAATCATTCTAATAATGATTTTGTTGCGTTCTTTAGTCATTTTATTATTTCTTTAATTGAGCAACATGTTAAATGCTATAGCATGAGATATCGTGTTCCTTGTTGGAATAGAAAAATAATTGATTCGTTTTAATGGATTATGATTCGTAAAGATGAATGAAAAGATTTATATTCGTATAATGGGCTATAATGAGATTTGGAGACGGTAGTAGGTAATTTTCTCAAAAATTAGGGGGGTGTATTTAATTAGGATTTTTAAGGACTTTTTAAGACTTTAGAAATCCTGGTGTATTCAATTTAGATTTGTTAAGACTTTTTAAAACTTTTAAAAATCCTGGGGTATTCAATTGGGATTTTCAAAAGTCTTACAAAATCCTGAGGTATTTAATTTTTTTGACACTAGGATTTATTAAGACTTTTTAAGATTTTGTGGGATTTCTAAACAAAAAACCTTATATGAAATCCCACTTCAAATCCTACCTCCGGACTTGAGATTTCATAGAATTCTTCCAAAATCTGAAAATCCTAGAAAGTCTCAAATCTCAAAAAGTCTTAAAATGTCACTTAAATTCCGAATTGAATACACCCCCCTTAGAGTAATTTACATCCCTTACTATTAGTTATGATATATATTACACTTATATACCAATTATAATCTTATTTATAAAATTACAAAACAAGCTTAAAATATTTACACTAATACCTAAGATTCTAAATGCTGCATGTAACCGTTATTAAGGAAATATAGGGGCAATCTAAATGCAATTGGATAATTAATTGAAATCAAATATCATTACCAAAAAAAACGGAACACCCTCTCTCTGTTATATCTCTCCTACGTTCACCCATCTCTCTGCAAAAAAACCCTCTTTTATTTTTCAGATCTGTTCGGAGGAGGAGGAGCCGGATCTTTCATTGGCCCGAGCTGCTATTTGCTGCTTCTTGTCGCCGGTGGCCGGTGACCGGAACAGGCGCGACGGCGAAGGTCGGATCGGACAGGATTGTTACTCGCTGGACAAAGTCGAGTGGCTGAGGAGGATCGACGGAACTCGCTGCTCGCCCCGGCTCCTTCTCGACTCCCGGCGTGGATTGATAATTCCCCGACGGAGGGTGACGTGACCTCAGGTGCGATGGCGGACGGAACCTGCTACATGGTCGACTGCTGCTATCTCGTCGATGGAGGAAGATGAGGGACAGGATTTGCCACCCGCTGGGAAGAGTCACGCGTCAGTGGAGAAGGATGAAGATGATTGATGGAGAAGGACGCACGCGAAGAAGAAAGCTGCGAAGGAACGAGAATCTTTGGAGAAGGAAGAAGATTTGAGATGAGAGGCGTGTTTGGGATGAGAAGGAAGAAGATTGAATTAATCGGGTATATGTTCTGTATAATATAAGGGCTACCTTATTTGTATGTATGGTTTATATTGACAAAGCATAAACTGATGATTTTTTTTTTTTTGTATATGTATGGTTTATACTCGGTATATTTTCAGTATTTTTTCTCATGACATTAATAGGAAAACGTTCGATAGTATGTAGAAGTTAAAAATTTTCGGTATATTATCAATATCTTTTCGGTATATTTTCTCATGGCATTAACAGGAAGACGTTCGACGGTATATTATCAGTATATTCTCGGTATATTTTCTCATGACATTAACAGGAAGACGTTCGACGGGTATATATGTACAGTATATTTGCAGTATATTTGTTTGTATATGGAATATAAGTAACTGCTATAATATGTTTATATATACTTTTATGTCTAAAAGTAAAAAAAATAAAAAATAAATAAAGAAGACATAATTTTTTGATGGATGACATGTTCTTCATTGTAACATATACTGAATATATACCAACATAAACGCAAAATATACCACCTGACGGCTGCGTGAATTACAAATGTACAAACTGCGTGAATTAG